CTGACTCATCTCTCCTGCCCCAAGTTCATTTCCATCAATTTTTAGGTATTTCCATTGAAAATATTTGAGCTTTTCTTTTGGTCATAGTAAAATATTGCACCATTCCCTGTTACTCAGATTCTTAAGCAGTGGTCATCAACCTGTGTGTCATAACTCCCTCAGAGTTCACCTATTAGATACTTGCATTACATTTCATAACTGTTAGCAAAGTTACAGTTATGAAGTAGCAACGAAATAATTTTATGGCTATGGTCACCACAGCATGAGGAACTGTGTTAAAGAGTCATAGCATTAAGGAGGTTGAGAACCACAGTGCTGAAGGAGGTGATGCTGATGTGTTGTTAGCATTGTTATTTACTTTTGCAGTCTTGGCTTGGTTGGTTTCAGTTATTTGCATCCAACTACAAAAAACGGAAATTATTTGAAAAAATGCCATGTTAACAAATTGTGGTTTTAATTTGCACATTGGAATACATAAAAAGAAATATTTCTGGAATGTTTAAAGATCTTACCACATATATTATACAGAACTGGGATCAGCCTGAAGTGGGCTTCACAGTATGTGTTTCCATGCTTTGGAAGGTTGCTTTTGCCATAGCAATGGGCTATGCTTTTAAAGATACTTTTGTTTTTTGTGGTAAGAGAACATCTTGAGTACTTTGGACTTCCTTCTTTCCACAGACCAGATTGCAAGCTATACCCTGTCACCTCCCAACTCCAAAGTTCAGATAAATTTCAAACTCTTTTAGATTTGACTATGGGCACCTGCCTTTGGCACAGCACTAAAAAAAGCATAGTTAGAAATGTGATGTCTCTCTCAAGAGCATTTTGTGGGACCCTGTGAATCTCCCTCGATTGTGTATATGTGTGTGTTGTATGCACTCTTTCTCTTACACTTACACAGTTATGGAGAGAGAGAGAGAGAGAGAGAGAGAGAGAGAGAGAGAGAGAAAGAGGGAGGGAGGGAGGGAGGGAGGGAGGGAGGGAGGGAGGGAGGGAGGGAGAGTAGGTGTCAATTCCCTACTGGGAGCCTGGGGAGGACAGGAGTCCTTATTGTGTGCCTTCCTCATTCACTTCTATGGATAGGGTCTCTCACTATCCGAATGCTCACTAGTTAGCTGAGCTCAGGAGAGCCAGCTTTAACCTCTCAAACCCATCCCTAGCTTATGAATTTTCCTTAAATTTTGTGTGGTATTTGGTTCTTCAATCTAAGCTTCTGGAATGCCTGTATCTCTTTACCATCTTACAAGCCTCTCTTTAGTGGTGCCCAATCCTTGTGACTTAAGGCATCTAGAGGCAGCACAAAATGTATCTTCAAATGTGTCTGTTGATAAAAACAAAAGTTTAGGCAGTTTGAGCTCTCTCTCTCTTCATTCTATATAAAACACAGTTGGTAATGTTGGGCAGAGTGGCAATACCTTTTTCCCCCAGAACCAAGGGGGAAAGAAACAGGTGGCTCTCCCTGAGTTTGAGGTCAGTTTGCTTTGTATTGGGAATTCCTGGCCCTCCAGGGTTACACAATGAGACTCTGCCTCAATAAACTCATTAAAAATACAAAATAATAAAATGGTAAAAGAAATCACAACTGATAAAAACAGTTTACTGATTTTAATACTGGTCATTTACTAATCCATTGCATTTGCTGGTATGTGAGAATATAGTGTTGGATTCGAAAGACCATAAGCTAACAATTTCCCTCAACAATGCCTTTGGTCATCGCTAGGGAGCATGGGTCTATGAAATGAGTCACAGACACTGTTCACAACAGGAGTCACAAAGATGTCTCTGTTTCCTTACACTCTGCTTTATATGCACAGGGCAGAATAAGGTGAGCCCAAAGAATCCACCAAGACTTATCATGCACACCATCTGTCTACTCTACATTATTTTCTGTTAAAAAAACAATTTAATATTTTATTCCTTATGTTTTCCCTCATAATGTAATGTCCAAAGAGTTGCATACACCACGGATCATGATGAACGGCTGCCATAGTATCGGTAGGATATAGAAGCTTGGAATTTTGAGTATGCCATATTTCATTACAGCTTCTTTGATTCCCAGAATGTGAAGTTAATTGATTGCACTTCTGTGTCCAAAGGCCTATTGTTCACCATGCCAATTATTGAATATAGTTGCTAGGCAAGTGTCCTACTATTGAACCACACCCCAGTACCCAAAGGGTATTCTTTGGTACCCTTAGTTCTAGTCCAACTAGTTTGAATAATGACATTACAGCCAAATATTATCTGAATATTTTACATAGATTCATTCAAATGGAAGAATAAATTCATCACATTCCATGTCTTGGAGCATGTATGTAGAATATCAGTCTCTAGGAACTGTTTTGTACAATGATTAAAAAAATTAAGACTTCCTATTTTAAGATTATCAGAGCAGAGACATGGGGGAAGCCCAGTTCCTAATAATCTTATGAATTATATACCAGAGCTTAACAGATTAGCACCAGTTATTATCCTTTAATTCCCTTATGCATATATAGATCACTACAGGTTGGCTTTACATGTTTTTTCTACATGTTTATCAACTGCCTGCCTGTAGTTTTTCATGCCTCTATGATTCATGTCTACTGAATGAGTTTTCATAATTCCATTAGTAATTGTAGGAAGAAAGGATTCCCAAAGTGATTTCTAAAGCTTTAGATGAAATTGCTCGCCTTCTCCTTCCTTTTGTATCCCCTATCTGTGGCTTGCAATCATCCAGGTATCTTTAGCCTCCTGCTGGATAACTTTCAGCTCTACTTGTTTTGGCAATCAAGTAAAACCTTTGTGCATGCAGTTGGGGAGGTAGTGGGAGGGAAATTTGTCCTCTATGTCTGAGGGGTGAAATTGCCTACATTTGTTGTCTCAGCAACTTGCTATTATTTATGGACTTATATAATAGCCACTGTGGTCTTTATATAGTATGCTCTGTTCTTTATTTTATCTTCGTTCTATATTTGAGGATATAGATAGGTAGGGTTTGCCTCCCTGCAACTAGATTTCCTCATGCTGTTTGTTGTTTCCTGTGCTCCACTGAACTTAGCCTATTTTAGGTCTTCTGACCTCTGTGTTCTTTGACCTTACTCGCCCAGGTGCCTGATTGTTTGTGTTTTACCTTCACACAGTCACCCTTTATATCTCAGCTCAGTTTTCACTTCTCTTTCTGGGATGTAGTCCTTGCGAAAGATCAACGTTCATCATGGAACTTTACACAGTTTGTTTGTTAACCACTAACTAAAGGTTTGATGTAATTCTCTCCAGCGTCTTCAATTCTATCAAATAGGATATTTGTATTTTTCTCGTCATATTTTTGTTCTTTTGCCTAAAATACAGTACATATAATGAGCACCCAACAAATGTGCAAGTTGTTTGCCACAAAGAGCTGAATTTTGTCGAGCGTACTGGGGAATTTTGTTCTATGTGCTTTCCTCTAAAGCAAGACTTCATGAAGAGTAGGTTAATATTACCTACTTGGTCATGTTTGGCTTTTAAAGAATCTATTATTAATACTTCTCAGTGGACACTGAGGATGACATCATAGATTTTATTATGAATTAAACTGTGAAGAAAAGTTTAAAATTTGAATACGAAGGAAGAGATATGGATAGATGAGTAAAATAGACTAGGAAATAAATAAAATATCAAAGAGAAAAAAAGAATTTTAGACATTCCCCCCTACTGGTTTGGCCACCCACATTTTTTTTTTTTTTTTTTTTTTTTTTAGGTTTTCGAGACAGGGTTTCTCTGATTTTATCTCACTCCAGCTTACATTATAAATTCCTACAAGACTAACTCTGTTGAAGAGCAAAATGATCATTTCTTATCTTCGCAAATCTTTTAGGAGTTTCTAGAGAGTGCATTATACACAGTGCTGCTAATGGCAGAGCATGTTTACAAAGTGAAGAGCCATTGTTTCAACTATTCATTATTGATGAAATTTACTGTTAGATGGGGAATACTGACTTCCTGAAATAATTTGCAGTTTGAAGCCATCACTGTGATTTTAAAGAACCAGAATGTTTCCAGACACTCAGACATTAGTGTTTAACAACCCACGGGAATGGCAATTTGATTTCCAGAGGGATTATGTTTCAGGTATGATGTCTTAATTACAGGAGTTCAAATGTTGCATTGCAAACATTTTTTTTATTATGTTACAGGATACTGCAAGTATCAAGTCAGATCATAGTAAATCATCCAGTTTTTGTGTGCAGAACAATATGATAGGATGTCTGTATCAGACTAAAGTTAAGGAATAAATTCAAGAATGTTCTTTTAATTACTAAAAATAATAGTTTTGAATATCACATCACAGTGCTTACTGCTGGTAGCAGTATTCACCAATACTAGTTAGCCTAGAACCCATAAGTGTGAATACACATCTTGTGAGTATTCAAAAAACCTTTGTTGATTAGGAGATCCATGTTTCCTCCAGTCTGATTGCCTAGTCAATTTTAAGTATAATTATGGATGTTGTAAACAGACCTCCGAGTGTGTGTGTGTGTGTGGGGGGGAGTAATGAGGGTTCATTAACTATGATTAATGACTTAAGTGTTTAAATCTAATTTTATTCTCCAGGAAGAGGACGAGAAAAATCTTTCCTGTTATAAGGTCTGAACTTTGTTTTCCAGAAACATTGTTGTATGAATACTAATTCTTGATATTATTGCAACGACATTAAAAAGCCCTTTACAAGAAAGATATGGTGTAAAAAATGTATCATCTTCTTGGGTTTTAGAAAACAGGACATAAATTTATACTATAAACTGATTTGAAATCTCAAAAAGTCTCTTAGTCAAAAAAAATAGGAAATTTTCAGGTAACACAAACTAAATTAAATGAACAAACTCAGCTTCTACAAACAACGCATTTATTTAGAAAAATAAACTGAAAAAAAAATGCTGTTTGTTTGATACATTTTCCAAGGAAACAGAGATGATTATAAAATTGTTATATGTCAAATACAAATTACAAATGACTTTTTGAATTAACAGAACAAACAGAATTAAACATCACTGTTTAGTACACAGTTTCAGCTTTTTAATATTAATGACACACATATATATAAAACCCTTTTGATCTCATTCATTTGACCACAATAATGTTTTCTTTATAATTTTACAGTTTTGTTCAGAAACAAATTCAGTTCTTTATGTAAGTAACTGACTATTTGTTAATTAGAAAATAAAAGGGGAACTCATTATCTTAATAATTCTCAAGTGATCCTTTTTGGATGCCTTCAAGAAACTGCTTCTTGTGGTCTCCAAACTGGTGGGATCATCTGTGCAAATACCAGAACACTTCCTTACCCTGAATGGAAGCAACTGTGCAAATAACAGAAGTGCATGGAGATGTAATCAGGGTAAAGCAATTTCCCCTCTCAACCAGTATGACGTGGAGGATGTAACACTGGAACTTTTCAAACAATTGGGGCCAATGCTGCTCTCCCTTATGGCTTTGAGGGAATATGGACTGTGGATCTCTTCATGTCTGCAAACTGCAACATTCTTCCTAATCCCATCCTTGCAAAGTTCCAGCTGGTTCAGTTTTGGTTTTGTCGGCATTTGTTGAAATTAGGAGTAATTCTCACTTGAGACACCTCCTGTCCATAACTTTCCATCTCTTAAAATGTTAAATTGATGTATAATTTAATCACTTCATTGATGAATTGCATTTTTTTTCTGGGCAGATTGATATCCAAGAATATTGATTTTCCATTGTGAAATTAGATTGTTTGATTTTGTTTATCTGTTGGCTTCTTAAAAACTTAGTCATTTTCTTCTGGGTGTTGTATCTTCTCGGTAATCAGGAGTGAAGATATTTTAAGGCTGGGGCATTTTCTGCCCACCTGGCTCTGTGCATGGCTGTCAGGTGAGAGGCAGATGATTTTAGGCAGACCATCCCATTGGTCATTTGTGCTCCAAAAGACAAGTTAGCTTCTCTGACAGGGTCAGGCTCCTGGTTACACTGAAATTAGATCTGGCCTCAAAAAGTCCAGGATCAGTTTGACATAAGAAAAATGAATCCACATGCCTCTAAATAAAGGTATTCCTTCCAACCCGATAAAGCTGTTAGAGAGAAAAACAAAAGACAGGCAATCATTTCAAATCAGTTCAAACAATAAGTATAATTAAATAAAGACACATTATAAATTAGAAATATGTATTAATTTAATATACTATGTAATTTCAATTTAAAATTCCTTGAATTATCATTTTTAAATATTATATGCATATTAAGATTATTGAGTAAAAACATTTTTATAACTTAATTATCAAGTTTTAATACTATAATGCTTATTTTTCAAGTAAAAGATTTCTTATCCTTATTTTTTTAAACTTCATGCAATTTTACCCACTTATAAATGTCTCACATTCTCAATATACTTCTTAAAGGCATTGAAGACAAACTTTTAAATATATTGTCTCAAAATAATTAAATTAACTCTTTCCATTGATACTGACATTTTTCGAGCAATAAGCAAAGTTGTACTTTTGGAAGGCTTAGTGATATAAAATACTGTAATTTATGTACTTTAAAAACAGCGTCAGATTGGCGAAAAATTTGCTTCTGGATAGCAGAACTGTTTAAGAACTAACTTTGTCTTTCTTCACAGGTATCTACAGTACTTAAAAACAAGCATTTTTAAAGAGTTTATGTCCATATTTTTAATTGATGATTTATGGAGAAGCAAAAATGAATGAAGCATGGGCATAATTCTCTACCATCAGAGCATTTAATATTACTTGATCTGAAATGTCTGTGATCTTCTCTCACAGATATGACATAGAGAATACTCACAACATTAGGTTCAGATAAAAGCTACTATTTTAATGTTTGATGTTAAAATTAATGTTATTTTTTGTCCCTCGAGAATTCACAGAGTGTTCCCATCCCTTTTCTCCACTTCACTTCCTTCCCACCTGTGGTGGTTTGAATGAGAATGGCCCCCATAGGCTCTTGTATTTGACTACTTTGGTCCCCAGCTGGTGGAACTATTTGGGACCTATTAGGAGGTGGGGGCTTGTTCTAGGAAGTGTGTCACTGGGAGCGAGAGTTTGAGGTTTCAAAATTTGACACCATTTACAGTTAACTCTCAGTCTTATGTTGTGGATCAATATGTAAGCGTTTAGCTACTGTTCCAGCACCATGTCTGCCTGTGTGTTCTGTGCTACACACCACGGTGGTAATGGTATCACCCGCTGTAACTGTAAACTTCCTATATGCTCTGTCTTTCATAGCTTTCCTTCGTAATGACATCTTATCTCAGCAACAGAAAAGTAAGATACCACCCAATCAAGTGTATTTTAGATCCTTTGAACTCATCTGAGAAGCCCTTGCTTTAAAATTATTTCTTTGAAAAGTAGGGTAGCGCCAGAGTGTACTGAGTAGTCCAATGTATACACACAAACAAAAGATGGAATTGTTGGCCCTTCCTTAGCAAGATATTTACTATGCTGTTAGATTGATAATTCCTTGAGATTGTTCTATTGTTAGAAAATGCCTTTGAAATTTAAATCCATAAAACTAAAAAGGAGAAACCTAAACAGTCTGTTCTTCCAACTTGTGAGATTAAATTTAAAAAATCAATGAATATGATCTAACAGTGTCTTGCCTCTTTGCTCGGGCTCCTCATTAACGATATCCTATGCAAGCAACAGAAGGCATGAAGAAGATAGTTTAATCCCAGAGCTGCTTCTGAAAACTGGAGGACAGCTGTCTGAGAGAGGAGAACACTCCTGAATGTCATGGGAATCTATCTGTTCCATTTTGGTATCATCTGAGAATTTGAGCTTCTATGTATACAAAGAAAACCAACATTAGCTGTTAAAAATAGAACAGTAACAGTTTTACAATAATTAGTACTTTGATTTTCTGTGAAATTGAAACAGTATGAAATATGCTCAAAGTTGAATTTCTCTAAAAATATGGATATGCAATTCATGTATTTTCAAAAAAAGCAAATTAAATGTTCCCATTATATTTTCATAGGTTTATAATTTAGGAGAGTTTAAAACCTTTTAGAATTTCATTTTATTGATTTCTTAAATAGTTTAGTCAATCTATTCATCATACGTTGACCATTCAAAATATTTATTTTCATCCATCAACACCAGATGCTGATTTAAGAACGATGAATAGGTCAAAAAATCTGTGCACACTGCCCCCAAGAAGATAATTACTTGAAGGTAAAAAGAGTCTCAGTAAGGTTTGTACGACAATGTGAAATGAAAGGTAAAAGTGGGAATAGACTTTACAAGCATAAATAACTACTAATAGTTGGAAAATAAAGATATTTGATACAAAAGAAATAATAAGGCTAAAGTCACAGAAGGAAGGCGCTATTTGGTGCCTCCTGTATTTTACAGAACCAAAGTAGGGCCTTATACCTCAAACCTTACATAATATAGAATTTAAAGAATAAAGGACAAATATTGTTTGGAGAATTAGCAGAATTCTGGCTGTCCTTTTATAGTAATATGGCAATAGGAGTAAGACATGTTGAAGAATCTTTAAGGAGAGAGTGGCTGGAAAGGGTGCGGCAATATTGAAGGGGTGGTGGAGAGGGAATAATTATGTATATTTTAGCCAAAGAAATGTCCAAGACTTCAGTTAAAGGCTCTAAGAAATCACTACAGTCACAGGTGTTTTCTCAATAACAAACTGAGGAGGGCAAATAGTCTTCACCTTTTCACTAATGAGGTATTTCATTCAGTTGCTGCCCACAAAAGAGAGGAGTCAGTATGGTTCTGAGACATATTTCTACTGTTTTGGGAAGAAGCTCGTGGAAGTTGATGTGTGTTTTTCAGTTCTCAAAAGCCACAAACTGAGAGCAATAAAATAAAATAATAAAATTCCAAACACAGAAATCTCAAGGTCCAAATCAGCAGCAGAAGGAGAGAGAGCACTAGCAAGGAATTCAGGACCGCGAGGGGTGCACCCACATATTGAGAAAATGGGGATGTTCTATCGGGAACTCACCAAGGCCAGCTGGCCTGGGTCTGAAAAAGCCTGGGATAAAACCGGACTTGCTGAACATAGCGGACAATGAGGACTGCTGAGAACTCAAGATCAATGGCAATGGGTTTTTGATCCTACTGCACGTACTGGCTTTGTAGAAGCCTAGGCATTTGGATGCTCACCTTACTAGACCTGGATGGAGGTGGGTGGTCCTTGGACTTCCCACAGGGCAGGGAACCCTGATTGCTCTTTGGGCTGATGAGGAAGGAGGATGTGATTGGAGGAGGGGGAGGGAAATGGGAGGCGGTGGTGGGGAAGAGACAGAAATCTTTAATAAATAAATAAATTAAAAAAAAATAAAATAAAATTCCAAACCTTCAAACCCACATTTTGAATTTGCTGATTGGAATCTAAACTGGGGTACTACAGGATACTTTTCTCTTGTCCTAGTTCTAGAGTTAGATACCCACACTGCTGGATTGGTGGTATTATTAGGCATTATATTGCCATGTTCAATATACTAATGTTAGGCTCAAATATTTGTCCCCCTGGAGAAAGGCTCTAAACTGTATTGCTGTTTATGTTTTCAAATTCTATGTCATAAATTTCCATTACTATAAATTTTAAGATACAAAAATTTTAAAATATTCACTCTGTACTTATATTTAAATATCTCCTTCAATTATGGAGGTATGTAATGATGCCCATAGACATGTTAAATGATGACATGTCAAATATATTTGCTAAGCCCTGAAATAATGAACAAAATAATTGTACCCATCAAAAGCTGTGGTAAATGAATGTGATCTAAGGTGCCTATGTGGGCATGCTTTCTGACCCATTCTTGAAATCAGTGGGTTAAGGGCTACATTCCTCTCAGATAGGTTCTGCTTCAAAACAATTAAGATTTTTTTGGCTGTTCAGGTGAAACAGGTTCAAGAATTTCAAGGGCTTTAAAGCTTCCCCACTCTTGCAATTTCTTTCCAGATTCAAATAAAAGATGCAAATTATGAACTGTGTTAAATAACTGAGGCCTTAGGTCATTAGATGTCAAATTAATTAATTTATGTAAGTAGTACTTAACAGTATTTTCATGTGGTAAGTACAGCACAATTTAAAGAGGGCAGAGATAGCAAGATAATTAAGTGAGAATGCAAAATACACAGAGATTCGTCTAAAGAGAAATGCTTCACAATTTATATTTTTCTGGACTTTGGAATGGTTTTTAAACTTTCCTTTTTCACAATGTATATAAATTATTAAATTATTAAAAAGTTTTATCATTGTATTTTATAAAATACATTTGAAACTGATAAATATTTAAATAAATGCATGATATATGCATTCACAATATAAAAATATACTTAACCATGGTTCAATATGCAATATATCCACTCTCATAGAAAAACATAAGGATAAGAACACTAAAGTCACTTCCCTTAAATTTCTTATATTTTTTGTTGTGAGCCTAGCGTTTAATGGCTGAGCCATCTCTCATTGGACAGAGGACTGATATCCAAAATATTAAAAGAACTCAAAAAATTGGTCATCAAAAGAACAAATAATCCAATGAAAAATGGAGTACAGACCTAATCAGAGAATTCTCAAATCTAAAATGGCTGAAAGACACTTACGGAAATGCTCAACATCCTTAGTCATCAGAGAAATGCAAATCAAAACAACTCTGAGAATCCATCTTACACCTGTAAGAATGGCCAAGATCCAAAACACTGATGACAACTTATGCTGGATTGTTGTGGGGTAATGGGAATACTCTTGCATTGCTGGTTGAAGTGTAAATTGGTACAGTCCCTTTGGATATCAGTGTTGTGATTTCTCATAAAATTAGAAAACAACCTTACTCAAGACCTAGCAATACCACTTTTGGGGTACATATTCAAAGGATGCTCAATTGTACCATAGGACATGTTCTCAACAATGTTCATAGCAGCATTATTTGTCATAGCCAGAACCTAGAAACAACCTAAATGCCCCTCGACCAAAGAATGGATAAGAAAAATGTGGTACATTTACACAATGGAGTACTACACAGCAGAAAAAAATCCCACAGAGAGTGTTGAAGGGGAAAGGAGAGAAAGGGAGGGGA